AAATAAAATAAAGGGAAAGAAAAATCATCCAAGGATGCCTAACAAGGCAAGAATAAAAAAATGTATTTCATACACAGTTTTGTCCTTAATTGGCAAATTATGAAATAACTCAACTATATCCTTGGAATTGATATATAAAGATTTACCAGAGTCCAGTATTAGCCAAGATATCAATCAAAAGACCATCCATATCATTCAACAGTCAGAATTCTTAATCTTCGGATTAGTTTAGAAGCAAAAAAATGAGCTAACAATTAATAATTCCTGACTGCTGAGTTATAATTGAATCATTAATCATACCGGTGCTGGAGCAGGTTCATCTTCATCCTCCCATGAGTCCTTCACATCTGATTCATCCACATCCTCATCATCCCACTTACTTGTAGGAAGCTCCTTTAAATTGAGTGGTGGAATTTGCTCGTCCTCTGTAATAAAAGCAAAAAACCTTTTAAAAATTAAGAAAACAATGCAGCACTTGAAAAGAAGACAAACTTCATATCAAACAAAAATAACTTATGGGGGCGGATTCTTCTATTAAGAACACTGATCTAAGGCTCAATGACCAAATTCCCTGCTTCCACCAAACTAACTCAATTAAATTGACAGGAGCTATAGATTGAGGCAATGATGCAACTATCAATTCTAAACCTGCACCAATTACACCCATCAATCTCGGGCAACCAGCTTTTTACCAACCATTGGGGGATGAGATGAAGCCAGCCCCTCCTTTCTCTGCTTTAACCCAACCCCAAATTATGTTTAAACTTAAAAAAAAAAAAAAAAAACACCAACGGAGCTTTAACATGAGAGATACCAACTTATCATTAATCTAATTCAACTAAAAGCAGAAGCAATCATAATTCAGCAAGAAAACATTACCCCAGTCCATCTACTCTCACGTTTGTCACAAGCACAGAATCTGCAATAATCACATAAATCCAAGAGGAACCCTACACATGCATGGACAAAAAAAAAAAAAAATCAATAAACCCAAACCAAAAACAGTAGCATTAAACTCGCCAAACTGAATCCAATGAAGATATCAACAGATTCCCCAGAAAGAAACTACATGGAATTCAATAGAATGCAAACCCAGAAGAAAATAGCAGGAAAGCACTCACCTTTAGATAGTTCCTGCGTGTAGCTCGACGGAAACCGAATACCCAACTCTAGTTCACTCGGATTCAAGTATCGGACGGAAAAAAGACAGACAAAAGTGATGATATTTAGGGTTTTTACTGTTGCCTCCGGTGGAAAGGAACTGACCTCAGGCGATCATCAACAAAAGGAGAGAGGTGTTGCAGTCCCTTTTATAGGGGATGCTGGACTATGACATCAAAACGGAAAAGGAGAACTTGCTGTATAAGTGAGCTGGGCTTGAGATCTTGGCCCATGTGCTCATTAATGAGCTCGGTTCAACAATTACACACCGTAAACTCAAATCGAGAAGTCCTGAACTTGTGCACGGGCCCATTAACCGGCCCAGTCTAACACTCAACGAAGAGGTGTTATGTTGGATCAATTCTTGGTGAAATCAATAAACCTCAATGATAAGAGTACACAATCTTCCCCCCCATTTTTTTTTTTAATTTTTATTTTTTGAATAGGGTTACATTTTTGGGGGAAGGAGAATTGGGAGAACTTAATCTCTAGTCCATTGAGAACTCTAATCTGAGTACTCTACTCACTTACTCAGAAGTTTTCAATAAATTGCATAATTTTTTTATTTTAAATATTAAAAATTAAATTCACTGATAAATAAATATTATTTTATATGTTAAGTTTAAGATTTAAACTTTGACCTCAATACTCTTGAATGCACCAAATTAATATAAAGTTAAAACCCCTTTTTGGTCCCTCAACTATTGTACGGACTCCCGATTTGGTCTTTGAACTCAAAAAATCCCTGATTTGGTCCCTACTGTTTACTATTTTTACCCCGATTTGGTCCTTCCGTTAAAAATTCAATGATGTGTCCAGTTAACTAACGGAAAATGATGACATGTCAAAATATTATTACAGATCAATACCATGTCATTAAAACACGTCAGATTTCAGCCAACAAAAAAAAAAATGTGAGGCCCACCTCCTGCAAAATTCACTATCTTCTCTCCTCCTTCCCATTCACACCCTGGGTTCTTTGAACCCCAGGCACGGGTTCGAGGGAACCCAGCGCCTGGGGTTCGAACAACAATTCATCATCATCATCAAACAACACCCACAAAAATAAAGAAATTATTTATTTATTTTTTTGTTGAAGAAACCAGAGCTTGCT